AAAAGGACGGGGTGGGAGACAGGGAACAGAGTGTATGAAATAACATATTACAATTAGGCCTTGTCTTTGCTCCTGAAAAGCTACGTTTTTTACCCCCAATTCACACACATGCATTACCCTGAGGTTAAAAACAGTGAAAACAAAGCTCTTGAGGTTTACTGTGAGGAAAACTTGACCAAGTCAGCACTATAATCCCGCTAGCTCGAGAAGGACCAAAGTGAGTTTACCTCACACTTAAGCTATGTCTACCCTGGAAAGTTTTGGCGATGAAAGTGCTGTCGACATGCAAAAGTCGCCAAAAAGAAAGTTGCCAAATCATGTTTGCATTGCCACTCTCTGTTGACATATCATGGCCAAATTGTTAGCGCCCCCGAGGACAGAAAGAGCAAAGCAATGTGGGTAAGCATCTCCCTGTGCCTGGCATCACCTTCAGTCACTAGGCACTGTGGGAACATGCAATGCTGCTCAAGGCATTTTGGGAACATGAAAAACGTCCTGTCAGCCACCTCTTTGCTTCCAGCCCTCATGGAGCTTACAGTTGACTTTCATGCCATTCAAACCCGACAATCCTTACTGTAAAAACTTAAAAAACAACAAATAGTCTAGTAGCACTTTATAGACTAACAAAACACGTAGATGGTATTATGAGCTTTCATGGGCAAAACCCACTTCTTCAGATGACCGGAGTGTTGGAAGTCCAGATCCAAGAATAAATAAGGGAAGGAGGGAAGGGGGGAGAAGGAAAAAAAATTGAAGGGGAGGAAGAAAAAAGAGAGTAGAGAAGCTTCAGAGGGATAGCTGAGTGAGTCTGTAACAGCAAAAACTTAAAAAACAAGTAGTCTAGTAGCATCTCAAAGACTAAAGTTGCTGTTTTGTTTAAGACCAATTCCACATGCCAAATACACAGAGAAGGATTGGAGCTTAACTTCATTCACAAGTTTAATTCTTATACTAATGATTTGAATCGGGATATTGGATGGCTCGCATATTATTAACCTATCAAACAATGAAGGTGCTAATGGTTCTTAATGTCTGTGTAGAATCTGGTGGTGGTCATCTTCCTTTCTAAGTGCAAACTAATGGTTCTTATCAGCTTCTTTTAACTATTTAGTCTTTGAGATGCTACTAGACTAATTGTCGTTTTTTAATTTTTAAATTTCCTGTTGCAGACTCACTCAGCTATCCCTCTGAAGCTTATCTGCTCACTTTTTGTCTTCCTCCCCTTCAATTTTTTTCCTCCCATCTCCCTTTTCCCTCCTTCCCTTATTTATTCTTGTATCTGGACTTGCAACACTCCAGTCATCTGAAGAAGTGGGTTGTGTCCACAAAAGCTCATGATACCATCTACATGTCTTGTTAGTCTTTAAAGTGGTACCAGACTATTTGTTGTGTTTTAAGTCTTTCCTGCTACAGATTAACTCAGCTACTCCTCTGAAGCTTTTGTGGTCCTAACTGTGCACTCCTACATCTCCTGTGAGAAATCATGGACCTCAGACTTCTTTTCCATGTTGTGTGCATTGTGCTTAGGACAGCATGCATTGCAGCAGAGCTACTTATGGTAGAAGATGACGACTTGGATGCGGATGACAGTGAGTGACACGGACAGCAGTAACTTAGCATTGCATTTGGCTGCCACAGAGGAGCTGTGCAGAGTAGGGTTGTTTTTGGGCAAGGGAAACTAGCGCTGAGTGGTGGGATGAAGACCAGCAGCTACAGAATTTTAGGATGAGTAAAACAACATTCCTGGAGACGTGTGCTGAGCTGGCCCTGAACTGAGGCTCGAGGACACCTGAAGGAGAGCTGATCTCTCGGTAGAGAAGCAGGTTGCAATTGCTTTGTGGAAGCTGGCGACTCTTGATTACTACCGTGCAGTTGCAAATCAGTTTGGAGTGGGGAAACCTACTGTCGGGGCAGTCCTTCTGCAAGTGTGCAGGGCAACAAATCACATTTTGCTGCGTAAGACTGCGACTCTGGGACATGTGGATGACATAGTGGCTGGCTTTGTTGATGTGGGCTTTCCAAACTGCGGCAGGGCAATCGATGGCACACACATTTCCATCATAGCACCAGACCACCTTGTACATCAGTACAGCAATCGGAAGGGGGACTTCTCCATGGTGCTTCTGGATTGCTATGGGCATTTCACAGACACAAATGTAGGGTGGTCTGGAGTGCTGCATGATGCATGCATCTTCAGGAACAGTGGCCTGTACAGAAATTGCAGCAAGGGATGTTTAGGTTGGACTTAGAAAAAACTTCCTGACTGTCAGGGTGGTTAAACATTGGAATAAATTGCCCAGGGAGGTTGTGGAATCTCCATCACCGGAGATATTTAAGAGCAGAATAGACAGACAACTATCAGGGATGATCTAGATCACGGTGGCCAACCAGTTAGAGATGAAGAGCCAAAATAGCTGTAGATAGAGTGAAAAGAGCCATGTATTATATATTTATTTTTATCTGTCTACCTACCTATCTATAATACACAAAATGTAGTGATAAAAATAACATTACAGGACATTTTGGACAAAAACCAATAAAAAAGTCTCCAGTCACTTAAAAAATTCATGGCCAGAGAACTTGACAAGGAACAAACATCAAATTAAAAAAAAAACCCTTTTAAAAATACAGTAATATTCTCACACTAAGAAAAACATCCCCACCATGTATTTTAAATTTAACACTACTGCCCTATTATGTCCTGTGAAGTAAATTAGCACAATTTAAAGTGCCTGTTTCACTACAGCTTGTTG